TCACCACAAGTACTCATTTGTCATTTGGCTTTGAAAGTCACCCTCAAGAATAGTGGAGCCAGTGGAAAGTCACATAAAAGGCACTGAATCTCCTGTAGAGAATGCAGTCTGCTCTGCACCATGTAAAACAGAGATTTGCCCTTGGTGGCAGAGCAGTTGTAGTTATACCACATAGCTTGATTACTTCTTTGCCAAAAGGTGCCTACTCACTAAGTTCTACAGAGCACTATGGTTTTACTGTCTGTCACTATTTGCAGTTGGCTAGAATGGTTTAAATAGGATCGATCCTATTTCTCATTCCTGCAGCATCTACAACTAATAGTCTGTATAGTATCACAAATGGTACTACAGCACTTTCTGAACATTAGTAGGGTGCAGTCACCAGTCAAGCGCTATAAGGACAAAGTGTTTTCAGCAGTGATTTCCAGGGCAGTAGGCTAACCTGAGAAAGAGTTATATAGCCTCTAGAAGACCAACAAATAGCATCACAAGTGGCTGAAAAATGCAAGACAAGTCTGTACCATAATAGCCTGTTGCCATCTTCCCATATTCAATAAGGTCTGAAATCGTATTATCTAAACTCTGGCAAATTGTTTTTCCATGGAAGTAACCCAGGCTCATATGAACTCTATTTATGAGGGGTAGGTAACAATGTTTCATACATCACCAGCTGAACAAAGAGATAAGAAAAAAGTCCAGGCTCAGTTTCCTGGGTACAATCTGCCTCTGATAAGCCAATGTCTACCCACTGGTAGGGCATTCTTTTTCCAAACGCGTGTTTTCATTGTAGCAAGACATTTCACGGACTCTCAGTGCTATGGAGATTCAAAAGAAAAGTACTCTATCCTGGTAATGTTTTAGTCCCTCCATAAATCCAGATATGTTCTATGGGTTGGGTACTTAGCAAAAGGAAAGTATGTATCCTATGAGCCAAAAAAAACACAACACATATCAGTCTTGAGACCAAGCTGACGGAATAATGGGGGCAAGCATTACTGTCCTTACCGACCTATTTGTCATTCTCTTAAAGTCTAGGACAGGGTGAGGATCTCTTTCTTCCTCAGTACAAGAGCACTAGAAGACCCTTCCTCTGCATTATTGTGGTATCTCCTGAAAGCCATTACATTATTTTTTGTAACAGAGTACTGTAAGAAACATAACTGAAGAGGAAGCAATGGTCAAAAAAACAAAAACAACAAAAAAAAACCCCACCTAACTGGATGGTGCTACCATGGGTGACAGATGTCTGGCATCTGTCCACTGGCTGTAATAGCTGACCAAACCTATGGAAAGAACAAGCCAGTTCACCAGGAGGCCCAGATGAGCAAAGAGAAGACAGACACAGCTGGGGTTTAGTCTCCTGATACAATCCTAGGATGGTCCCAATGAGGCTCATAACATCCCTGTCAAATATGCTGTCTTTGGGAATGACAGAGGAAGAAGATGGCTGCCTCTGAGTACAACAACACAGACACCTTCTGGACAAGTATTTCAGTTGGTGACCATGGGACTATGGCTATTTTGTCCTTACAAGTGTTGGTGTTAGAAGGGCTTGCAGTACAGCACAGAAGTATAGATCTCTGTTCTCCAAGATTCAAGAACAGGATTGACTCTTCAAAGCACCTCGTCCATCCAGTCGTTGAGGAGCTTCGTGCTCTCAAAAGGGAAGCTCCTTTGTTGCCACCTAGAGGTCTTTCAGCATCCCAGATATCTGTAACCAGAAGTCCAGACTGCTACTGCCTTGGCCACCAATTAGAGATGCATCAAACTTGTTCACTGCCTCTTCCAATGCTGTTTTCATTACCCTTTACCCCTCCCTGATGGTATGTGTCAGCTTCTCTCACCAGCCCTGCAGCAGCCTGGATAGGAAGGGGGTTACTCTTTCCCACGTCAATAAACTGTGATTTGTGAACCTGGCACAGTTGCTTGTGGTGAAAAACTGGAGAGAGACTGGCAAGTAATCTCTTTCAGATGACAACCCCCTGGAGGACCTGATCCGGACCACAAATAACAGAAGTGATATCCAGGCTGGAAAGGTTCTTATAAACAGGAAAGTACAGCATATTTTTCTGAAAACTATAACACATTACCTCTTATCCCTCCAAGGGTTTATAAGATCATAACAAATAGATCAACTTAGCACCTTGAAAATAAGGAAGTCTTTGCTGGCTGAAAAACTATTGGTGCTCCTCACCTTCAAGAGAAAAAAAACATTTTATATATTTGATAGATGAATTTAACTAATAGGAAAGTTCCCATGTTGCCAGAGAATTGCTAGCTCACATAACTAACCCATCTGACATCCTTGTGATCAAGCAGCAGTCAGCATTGACTGAAAACATGTCCCCCACCTCAAATGAACAATATCCTTTATTTTCTGTCTTATCTTCTATGTTTTTAAAAGACTTGTGTAAACCAAAATACAGTTCTACATATATAGTCTTTCATGCCCACATCTTAAATAACTTCTACAAAAGTAGTGAGCTAAATACTTGTACTATGACTAGAAAAGATTGGGGTCATGCGCTCAGCAAGTTTGTGCCCACAGTTTAAGACAGAAAAAACTGCTCTTAACCAGAGTTGTGTGGACAGGAGAGGAAAGGGGCAGGGCAAGGGAAGAGTTGGTATCTGCACCAAGATTCCTTCTTAATGAAGACTGCCATGGGATCTTTTACTTCCCCTTGGATAGTCAAGAGATGCAACAGATGGTACCTCAATATGCCACATCACTGAAAGGACAGCAGAAAGATAAGGAAAACTAAGTGCCACTAGATGACAAATCTTTCAGGATTAGTAGGTAATTCACAGAAAATGCTCTATTAATGCGCGTAACTACAAATTTCTATGCCAGTTTATAAAATACCTTGCTGACTAAACTGTAGGAAATAGAAATGATCAATTACTATATCCTCCCGGTTTAAATAATCACCAAGGGAACACATACAGGGAGGGAAAGCACTTATTAAATTTGATGAATGCTCATCAGAATATAACCAAGTTGTCATCATTGTGCTTGAGAAAGCTTTCTTGCAGTAGCATCATAGTGTAGTTGAATATTATATATAGCAATCTCTCTCAACCCGTGGGTTGCGACCCAAAAGTGGGTCACAAGAATATATGAAAGGGTCATGAACAAATCTTAAAAATGGACTCTCCTTTAAAGAAGAAAAAGGTGGAAAACCATGGCTTTGCCTTTGGAGGCTGTAAAAGCCTGCAAGAGGCTGCTTGGGGCTCACCATGCCCCACTCCTGCACACACACACTTGCAGGACTGGGGGTGGGGGGCAGCAGGCTGAGAGTGAGGGACACTGGGTCTGGACTGGCCAGTGTTTACAAATAGACCTGGGTACAAAAAAGTTTGAGAAACACTGCTATATAAGAGATACCTGGATGTATGAATAGGTAACAAGAAGTCATAAGAATCCAGGTCTATAAATAGTGGTAAAATCTAACTACTTAGTACTTGGGCAGTCAGACCAAGCACTACATAAGCAAATTAACTTTTATCCAATTTTCTAGAATAAAAAGAATGTTAAGACCATGACTTCTGACACTTTTACAGTGTACTTCTACCCACAATCTTTCCTTAATCCCCTCTAATTAACACTCGTCACTAAAAACAGAAACAATATCCTCAAGCTACTTGAGATCTGCATAAATCAGAGATAATAGATACTTTACATTTGTTTCTCAAGACTTAATCCAAGTATTATTCAGTTATTTTCCCTTTGTAGAAACAACACACTTCACAAAAGAAAACTAATTCATAAAACTGCTATACTGCCAAAATAAATTATTTTATAGGTTACCAAACTTCTGTAATAGTTGCCAGCAACCCAGGAGACAGCTCAATATTGCTGTCTGTTTTGTTCTGATGTTATGAGCAAGTGCTGCCCTCTTCTGGCAATTATTTCAATTTACCAAAGCCAGTTTTATCTCCACTGCATTGTTTACATTTACACTGGATACAGTAAGAATTTCACAGAAAGATGAAAGCAGACTTTACAATTCACTATTGCTGGTGGGGGACTTCAAAGTTATGAAAGTAAATGATTGGAGTAATTTGATAAATTCCAGACATTGGTAAAAAACTTCTAATCTAAGAAACATTTTAATCTGAAAAATCAAAATAAACCAGAAGGGTCAGGCAGAACAAAGAAATAAATTAAATAAATAGAAACTTCTTCCCACTATGACTTGCCCTTCCTTCCAATGAAAAATACAGTAGTTCTAACTTATCTCTCTGCTCCTTTCTTAAAAGAACTAGCAACCCCTGCAGAGGTTTGCCTCTCACTTTCCCTCTCTTTGCAGCCCCATTTTAATCCATGCTCTGGAGGAAGGAAAAAAAAAAAAAAAAATCTTTTCAACCTAGGGAAATGGGTTTTTCCTAGCCATATCAGCCTCTTGTGAACCAATATAAAAACAAGAAGTTATTTAATATTTGACCACACAAGTTATGTAGGATTACAAAAATTTGCATGGATACAGATATATGAAGCTAACGTATTGGTCTTAGAAAAAAAACAAAAATTTCTCAATTCAAAAAATTTAAGGACAATATTGTTACTTCCACCACAACTGAATCTCACACACACACGGAAAGAAAACCAAACTAGTGAAATGCTACAGAATCAACACCTTAAAGATCTTTCAAAATACCACTAATAATCCATGAACTAAGGATTGTTTATGTAAACTTACTTAAAAATAGAAATAACTATTATGGCTTTGAAATAGCAAGAGCAACTTTGAGCAATTCAGGAAGAATTGAACATTTGAATATTTTCCCCTATAGCTCTGCATTCCACTCATCTCTCATAATATGCTATGATCCCAGATACGGCAGGATGAAAAGCAACTAGAATTCCTTCAAAGAAATTATGAAATCTTTCATACTGCTATAGATTTTGCTGCTTTAAAAACAAAAAACAACACAGCCTCTCCCCCCGACCCAACAAAACCAAAAGAGATAAAGAACTCTTTAAACCAAAGTTACAGTACCTTAAATATGATAGCAATGGGAATATCTTCTGATAGGGTGTTATGCCTCAGATAAAATTTTCCTTGTTTCACAGCCATATTTGTTCTGCTCTTCTTCTCGTGAGTAGAACTGAAGTTGAAAAATTATTATTTTACATATAAACAGTATCTTTTATGGCAATTCTTTTGATGTCTTCATTATAAAGCATCACGCTTAGCCAGTCAGAGGAATGCATTCCAATGTCTCAGAAAAACTATCAGCAACTATTATTTCTAGTCCAGGTAACAAAAGGACATTACTTCTGATAAGGCATGTTAATATTTATATTTAGCAGGATGGCAACAAATGAGCATTTTAAAACATCTACAAGTGCTTCATAAACAGACATTATCCAAAAGCTCTAGATAATAGCCAAGTACTTGTAGAAGTGTTAGAGTGATATCATACCCAGGAAGGTCCAGGAATTAGGCAAGAGGCAAGGACTTTTTAAGATGTTATTTTCTTAGGGTGAGAGTTTTTTTTGTTTGGGTGGTTTTGTTAATTGGATCAACTGTGTAGTTGGGATAGAGTCAGGCAAGCCTCTGAATACAAGATGTTCTTCAGGTTGACCTGAAGAAGAATGTCTTGCATTCAGAGGCTTGCCTAACTCTATCCCAACTACAGTCACTCCAAAAAAAGACATCACTCTAGGAAATCCTTACCAAGAACTTTTGGGCATAGGCCTGTGCTGTTGTTGGCCTTTTGGTCTCATCTGGATTATTTGTGCAACAGTAGCCTACTAAGAGACACATGTGAAAAACATCTGTTAAATAAAACAAATGTGATAGCATTGGCTCTTATATATCATAGCAATAAGCACCTTGTGATGCACTGAGTTTGGTTAAAAGTGAACACAAAGATGATCTAAAAATAGAAATCATTAGTTAAGAATAAAAGGCATAACAGACTACATTCAGTATTCAACAAATTGAGTAGTACAGAAAAAATCTAGATTTTTTGAGCCCAGAGCAAGCTAACTTAGCAAAGAACGTTGTGTTCCCTCCACCCTATAAAGGTTATTTTTCCCTTGAATGGGATTCAAGTTTCTTCTCAATAATACTACTCCACTTAGAAATTTCTATGTCCGCTCCTTCTGTCCCTCTGAAGCAAATCAGCCCTTGCAGAGCCTGTAGATCAAAGAACTTATATAAAAGACAGGTAGTTCCACCTCTAGATGAACAATTAAAACCACTCTAGGTTAGCATGACTGAACAGTGCTATTTTCCAATGGCCATTTTTTGGTTAAAGTAAATGGAACTTGTCTCAAATTGGTAGTCAAGTGACGGGAAACAAGTGTCACTAATTCAAAAGTCCCTGCAGAGAAGATGGAGCCACCTACCCTTCCTTAACATACAGATCCTACAGACTGCAGTATAGTGTACCCTTCTTGACAGAGTAAATTAGCATATGCTGAGCTGGACAATGCCATGGCTGGATCGTTAAAAGTACTTGAGTCAGCTAGTTTTAAAGCTTGCTTGGGAATCTCCAGGCTACGATGGAGTGTAGACATAGTCAAGACCTCTCAAAAACACTAAGGTTAAGCCACTGGTGAGACATCAAGATGAGACTAGTGCTATCACAGTCCAGGCTGTTCACAATCAGTGACTAAACATATGACTTGGGCTGTGCAATAGCCACCTCACCAACCTTCAGAAGTACTGAACTATACAAAGTTTACTCCTAACTCCTCAAAGAGCCTTCTGCATAGGATGCAGCTGTGGAAAGTCTGTATCTATATGTACCAAAAGTTATTCAACACATTCCTAGTATTACAAAAGACTGCAGATCAAAACTCTGATATCTATCAATACAAGGTTTCCTACAACAGCTTTCATAGGATGTTAATTTGGGACTTAGACAGAGAACCAACCCCTGCTTCCAGTGAGGCAATACTTTGTTACTAGCTTAATAGGAACAAAGCTGGGCAAAGACTACCTATGTAGCATATCATTTATTTTCTGCATTGTACCAAAAAGCATCATTGAAAAATTTGCTATAGATTTTGTATCAAATACAAATTTGAACTTGCTACATTAACTCCAAGACAAACCCTCAGGTCTTCAAGCAGCTCCACTGATTTGATAGAAGCTCTGTCTAAGCAAGTGTGACAGCCCCCCACCCAATTCACCTGCCCGTGGCAACACAAACAACCAGAGCGTATGTGAGTGAGCCGGCACCATGCCAGTTGGAAGTGTGCTCCCAGTTGACACAGAGCCCCATGACAACAGACCAAAGTGCATGGGAGACAGGGGCAAGGGCAACTGGCAGCCAAGAGACCAGAAACAGGTCCAGCTGTTCTCAACCCTACCAGAAGACTGGATGCTCTTCCCTCTGTGGGTGAAGCCAAGGAGGTGCAGCCAGGGCTAGACAACTGACTGTACCCTACATGGCAGCTGAGGAACCAGCTGCATCTCTCCCAGTGGAGACTCATGAGGCAGCAGTGAGTATGGGACCCACTGGACACACCACAGAGATGCTGCCAGCAGGCCCCTTGGCAGGTGGCACTGAGCAAGGCCTTACCCGCAGCACAGCAAGTGCTGAGCACCCATCCAAGGATGCCTGCCACAGGACCGTATCCCAGTGGAGCCAGCAACAGGTACCCAGGGGCTGCCCACAGCGGGTAACTGGGGAAGAGCTCCCCAAAGCAGTGCACAAACTTCACAGCCCCACCAGTGATGCCCACGGACCTGGGATTTGCCAGCAGGTGGCTAGGAGGGAGCACAGGCCTCATAAGGGTGCAACAGTGGCCACCCCAAGGCAAAGCTAGACCTGGTCTGGCGCCAACCCAGGAAGGGTCCACCCAGAGAGGGCATTCTCAAGGGTCCAATAAGAAGAGGAGAGGGGGTATAAAACCTGAAGTAACTCACACCCCAAGGGGGAAAAGCTTGGGGCAGCAAAGTACCAGTGCCTTGCTTGGCCATCAGGCTGAGCTGTTTTGAGTTTATCTGTTTAGCTGCCATTCTTTTATGTTTCAACATTAATGTGAATAAAAGGATGGACCCCTAAGGATCCAAGCCACAGCATAACACCATGGGATGGCCCACGTGGAAAACAACTACAGCCCAACGAACAGCAATAGCACTTGAACAGAAAGGGGCGAGGTGTAGCGGAGGAAGAACCTCACAGAAGATGCACCACTACAGTCAGATCCAGCCTGCAGAGAACCACTGGATCACCTACAGGCGAGTACAGGGTTATCTTGGAACATCAAGTCACGGCAGGTGAGTGGGCCAGGTGTAACATGGCCCAGGGGCACAGGACACACCCGTGACACTGGGCCAGTAGTGCCAAGCGTGAGCTTGTCACAGCAAGCTTCAGTACTAAGCATAAAACTAACACTGGTCCTGGATATGTTTTCAGTATTCTTTTTTCATTAAAACTGAAGTAAAAGAAAACAACCCTAAATAGTAATATATCCAAGACACGCATGTGGCTGCAGTAATTCCCCATACCTGGTAACAGAGGCTCCAACTGTCCCTTTTCTATCAGCTTCCACAATGATCCTGTTTTTGGACAACTGCTCTTGAATGAGAATGACTTTCTCTACACCTTTAACAATGAAGTAGCCACCTATAAGCAGAAAAG